ACATTGTGTACCACATAGTTCCCAAATCAGTATACATTCTTTAAAATTGTTCAATTATAAGAAAATTTAATTTATCTACCTCATACTAACCTTTAAATTGATGATTTATTAAAAAAATTACCAAAAACATTTTTTCTACATTTTAAAATTAAATTATTTGATTAAATTAAGATGTAGACTAAATAATAAGTCTACATTAGTTTACACAGTAGACGTTAATGTAAGTCTACCTAGTTGTAGACTTCTTTCTTAAAGTGTAGACCTACGAAGGACAGAATCGTAAAATATACTGCACGTTTTTTGTTTGTTCATAAGGGTTAAATAGTAGTTTTAACACCCCTTTAGGTTAGGTTTGCAATTGATTGAATAAGGGGTGCACCTTTAGGGTTAAAATGAATATTTGGGTTGGTTTTGGCAAATCCCCCTTTAAAAAAATTGTTTAAAAAATTCTTTTTTAATAAATTTTTTTATAATATTAATTTATGAAGCTATAAGTTTAGTTTTTAGCAAAAATTTCTTCGAAGTTTATATTATCTTTGCAAATTAAATTACACTGATATTTAATCAAGCTCTATTTATATTACTTTATCTAAAAATGAAATACTAATCTAACAAACAATAAAATATAGAAGAAGAAACAAACACATATTAACATGTATAATATAGAAAATTTGAAACAATCTATTTGATTAAAACACTTATTATATAATATTATTATGTTTGAAAAACATTTACTATACATATCGTAAATATGTGATTACTATAATATATACCAATTTACAAGTGAAAACAAAATGTTTATATAATAACTAACTATAAACGAAAACAAACGTCCGCGCGGTTGCGCGGGTCAAAATCTAGTGTTATATTAAAAAAACATTAAAAATTTGACCTAATCCACAGTTTATAACCAAATCATACTTTTCTATAAACATATCTCTATTCATTCCAAATGTAAGATGTTCGGGAGTCAGTTAAAAAAAATGTTTTGGAGAAGATTAAATATTTTAAAATATAAGATATTTTAATATTTTTGAAGTATTTAAAAAAAAAATTAAAATCTTCAAAAAATTTTTTTTTGCATTGAATGTTAAATTTAATTTAAAATGACTTTGTTACATCAAATGTTACTTTGCTAAATGGAAAAAAAAACTATCTCTCCTTCTATTTACAATCAGGTTTCCAAAGCAAAATTTAAAATTCAAAACAAGACAAAACAACTTCAAACTCTAGTACTAAACCAATAGATCATCCCTCCCTCCAACTCTTATCATTTTTCTTCTGAATGAGAGTGGACTTGTTTCTCATCCCTTTGTCTATCAACCTTGCCAAAAGATTAGCAGGAGAAGGGCCCTCCCCATGTCACCTCCAATGTCTTTCCCTCCAAATTTTATGAACTGCAAGTTGAAACATGTACTTAATGACAAAAAACACTAACTTTCTCAATATTGAAGCACCAACTTTAAATCATAAATTTTCAATTTTCAAATTTGGTTGAGTTAAAATACCAAATTATACGTAAGTCAAAAAACATTCAATTTTTGTTAAAAAACCATTTTAATCATAAATTTTTGTTGACAGTACAGTTTTAGTCATATCGTTAGTCAACAGTTAAAGTTGACTCGAAGCATGCCGAAAATAGTTTTCAAAGTTGATTTTTTTGTCACAAATATAAATCAAAAAAATTCTAAAATATTGAATTTTAAATATAAAAAGTATATTTGTAATAACTATAACACTAATAACTAAAATTATAAATAAGATATAATTCCAACCAAAAATATAAAAGTTTTCCATTTTCTCAAAATAAAAAATTCTATGATTTTAATTTATGTTATAAAAAAATTAGTTAACATATCATTAATTGAGTATTTAGTTATAAAATGATTATGAAGAAATTTTAGAATTATTTACCATCAATTATTGTAACTATTTGTATAATCATATTTGGATTATGTTTTACAGTTTTCCTGTCAAATTATTTTTTAGTTAAATTTTAATTAAACTTTTGATTTTCAAACAAAAACAATTATCGGTTGATAGATTTTTCATGCTTTTTTATATTTATAATAAAGATCTTCAAAAAAATTATATAATTTCTATAAATGTTACAAAATATTTTCTGTATTTAATGAAAAATAATTTTCACTGAAAACTATTAAGATCCAACATGTTTTGTACATAAATAGAATCATGAAAATATTTCTGCCATTAATTTTTTGTTTCTGATAATAAAAATATATTAATATTTTATAAACAAACACACAAAATTCTGACAACAAAATTATGAAACATAAACCAGTTAGAACTAAATGAATTATTACAAAAGTGACATAATTACCGCTAATAATTATAAATTTTCTTAATTAATTATTTAATAATGAAAAAAGATACAAATTTTATTTTGAAAATAATAAGTAATTTTATTTTAAAAGAAATAAGGAATTTTATTTTGAAAGAAATAAGGAAATTTTTTATATTATCTTTTCAATAATAGTATTTATAAAATGTAATAGTTACTAAATAATTTATTCTAAAAATTAATATTCAATTTATTGAAAATATTGATTTTCTATTTTTGAAAAAAAAACAACAATAAAGCTATTTTATACCTCGTGTGAGTCAACTATAACTGTTGACTAACAGTAGAAGTAAACTGGTATGGTTAACAAATATTAAATGGCTTGTCAATAAAAATTGAATATTTTTTTGGCTTACGAAATTTGTTTTAATCAAATTTAGAAATTGAGGATTTAAATGACATTTTTCCATTTAAAATTGATTTAGTATTGATATTTCATTACATTATTTATGATTGGTTAATTTATTTTAAATTTATATATTAATAATATTATTTTTAAAGTCAACTTTTTTTAAAAAAATTATGCTTTTAAACAAAACATTTTAGGACGTCTCCAATTCAACTTTTTTTTTTACTCTAAACTGGAATAAAAAAGAATATGGAGTAAAAAATATTCCAACCGTACTCCATTTTTTATTCTATTTTTGAGTAAATTATAGGGTGGAGCTCGAAGTTCTCTAATAAAATTTACTTCATAAATGAAGTAATCTTTTATTTGTTTGTTCATCACTCTGTTATAAAATGGGAAAGGAATTGGAGTTGGAGTACTTTTACTATAATACTAGATCTTTACCCGCGCAACTGCGCGGGTGTTGTTTTTACTTTTATATACATATATTATTTATTTAATGACATTAGTGATATATATTTTTTTAACGTTGAACATATATTTAAATGTTTATATAAATGTATTGCTAATTTAATTTAAGATGCTCTTATGTATTGACAGAATGAAAATTAGAATTAAATATGGTTGTTAAGATTTTATTATACAAATACAAAAGATAAGGTAACAACTTTTCTAAGGAAGGGTCCATTTTATAAAAAATCACACATGAATGAGAAGTCATGACTTCTCTTTTAATATAATAGATTCTTTTCTATTCTACTTTAGATGAGAAATGGAGTTTTATATGGGAGATCCTCTTATATAATGGAAATAATGGAGTAAATTTCACGAGGTTGAGAGTACTAAATTTTAGTGAGTAAACATCTTATTTTTGTGATTTTAAGCGAAACATCTTATATAATCGAACCATCTTGAGGCATAAGAAGTACCTTACACTAGGTTGAGAGTCCTAAATTTCACTTTTACCACAAGAAACACCTGTATATTTCATTTTCAGAAGAACAATTGAGTTTCCATCGATTGCTCATACATATTCACACACACATATATATATATATATATATCACACATTCAAAACAAAATCAGAAGAAAAAAAAAGCCAATTAAGAAACGAGTACTTAGATCCATCTACTTTGCCTCTCCTCGCAATCAAACTTCATCAAGTATTGGCGCTTAGTAAAACAGATTTGATGTTACCAATGACAGCCATCAAGAGGATGAATCCTATGATTATGTTCATGAGATAGATTAAACGTGGATTCTTGCGGTTTCTTCTGTCCATTGCTTCCTCTGTTATAAACCATCCCTTCTTCTCTGTCTTCACCATAGATAATGATGATGATGACTTCTTCTCCATGCACTTTTCTTCTTTCACCTGGAAAAGAAACTTACATAATGTAAGTAGAGAGACTATATGATAAAAGCATCCACAGAATCAACATAGGAGCAGCTCAAGACCTCAAGTTTTGATGGTATTGTGCGCAGATCTGCAGGAGGTTGTGTATCTGTGAAAGAGTCTTTCCTCAAAGATGAAATCTCTTGTACATTAGTGTGGAAGCGTCCACTCAAACTATGAAAGCTATCTGGACTTGATGTTCCTTGGTAACTCTGGGTCATATTATAATCAAAGGCTGAGTGTTAGTATAAAGATTAGCTCCATGAAAGTAATGATAAAGAAAATAGAGTGATGTAAAAGAATTTTATTTTTTATTTTTTTGGACAAAGAATGATGTAGATTTTTATTTTACAAAGTTGTTTCCTAATTACTTTTCAAAATTAAAAATTCTTAGCCCATTAATTAAGCTTATAATAACTGCTTACAACAGGCTTACCGTTGCGGACATGGATTCGGCATCCCTGTCACTGCTAGAATCAACAATGAACCCTGTCGAAGGTTTCTTTGGTCTGTGATCGTTGCGGTGCTCTTGCATCATTGTGACGTCTAGATCAGCAAGCACATCATTAAAATTCCCTTCCTTAAAACTCAGCAGTTCACTAATATAATCATCTTCGCAGCAGGGAGCTTGTGGCTGCTGGTAAGGGTAGTAGTTGTCGTTTAAAAACGTGTCGGGATTGAATAGAGAGACATCATCTTGCTCGTTCAGTAGGTTATCCCATTCATCCACAGACATACCGAGATGATCTTGCCTTGGTTGCTCAACCTGAATATGTTAAAAGAGAGAGACCAGTAAAGAAACTAAAAAAAACACATGTCGGAAACTAGAACACGTGTCAGAAACTGGACACACCTCAGGAGCTGTGTTAATTTCTCTGGTAGTGTTCAAGTCAGAGACCGTGGTGGAGTGGCTTAACACATTGGAGCTATTACCATACAGACTGTCTCCCTTGTACATTACTTGGCAGATAACATACTTCCTCTGTAACAAAATCCCAAAGGTGTTAAAAGTTTTTTTTTCTAACTTAATACCAATTAATATACATTCAAAACATATATTCAAACACTCTTTATAGAGATTAAGGCTTATGGTCCATTAATCTCTACATAATCCTATACGACCAATTCAATTAAACACATAATCTCAAATTGAGCTAGAGAAATCAATTAATACAGGAGAAATCAACAGAGAATATACCAAAAAAAAAAACAGAGAATATACCAATCAAGAAAATACTGAAACATAAAGACCATTTCAGGTAACAGAGAATCATCTCAAACTGATTTTTTTTTTCAGATAGTTACCTGGTTAAGAGGCAAGGAAGTGGTGTGGTACTCGTGCATGACCCAAGGAGTCCCAACTCCATTAGCAGCTTTACCATGATGGTACACAAGCGTCTTCTTGATTCCTATCTCAACACCGTGTCCTCTCCTGTCCTTGATTATCCGATCCTTGCCGGTAGCTTTCCAGAACCCTGAAGGTGTTGTCCTCTTCGTTCCCTTCTTCTTATCAGATACGTGGTACTCCCTGGGAGTGAAGAAGTACCATATAAGATCCTTCGATTCCAGCTTCGACAACGCTGCAACCAAAAAAAAAAAACAAAAAATTAGAAATGATCTTTGAAGTTGAGAGAGATAGAGAGAAGGAAACTTACAAGGCAAGCACTCTGGATCGTGAGCATAGATGTTGATCTCGTTAATGGCTTCGTTGACGAGCCATGTTTTTTCAAGAATCTTGTTCTTGAGGTAATAGTTGATTACTTCTTCTCCCGTGGGACTAAACCTAAACCCCACTACATTCGTCTCCATTTCTACACACGATCTAGGGTTTGCTCTCTGTTTTTTTTTTTTTTTTTGAAATACAGTGGAGAGAAGAGGGGTGAAAAGAAGCAAGCCGCTTCACAAATTTATACAGCCTTTCGCTTTGATGAAAAAGAAATGTTTAATTGATTTTTGGTAATTTCTTAGAAGATAGTGAAAGTGAGACGTGGTTTATTTTCAGTGGATATGAACTTTGTAGCATGTGCTCCATTTAGATGTAAGAAACCGACATGCGTCTTCATATTAATATCGGATAAGCCGTGTGTTTCTTGTTAATTTATCCTATTTATCTTAAGATATGTTTTTTTTAAAATTGTCTAAGTGAGAATTATGGAATTATTGTATTTAGTAATCTCATCATTTGTGTGGCTAAACCTAACTTTCTCTATTTAACATCTACACACAGAAAACTAACTTTCTCATATTTCAAAAACTTTATACCAAATTAGAAGATTTATTATAAGATTTACTAGAAATAGTGTGAAAACTGTTACTCTAGTACTCCTTCAGTTTTCAAAGTGAATTTTTAAGAAAATATTGCTTCAAAAATATATATATTTGGGGTTTTCTAGGCTTTCAATTAATTAGTATTAGTAAATTCTACATTTCAAAAATAAATTATATTCGTTGATTTCTTATTAAATTATAAGTTATAGAAAATAACGGATTATATAAATAGTTTTGTGTATATTTATTAAAATTTAAATATATATATATATATACTTTAAAAAATTTGAAACACATAAAAGTACATTTCTAAAAAGTGGAAGTATTACGTATTATTTTATTATTACTAATCGAATGTGCTCTCCAGTCATAAGGTTAAATTTCTCTATCACTCCAAATGCTTTTTGATGTTTTTCCTAAAAGAGAATAAAAAATAGAACAAAAAAGAAAGAACAAGAAAACAAAAGTTTTCTCCAACGACAAAAACAAAATATTTTTTTTTATTGTGTAATGCACGTGGCCGGTTACTGAAAACTTTTGGGAGCTTCGAACTTAAGTTTTTTTTTGTAACATAATTAGAAGTTAAATTAATAATAAAATGTTTAAATTTTTAGGGAAAGCACAAAAAGATAAAAGATAAAAGAGATTGTAACTTCCACTAATATCGAATTGGCGCAGTGGTAAAACAGTTATGGCTGTAACTTCTGGCACTTGAATTCATTTCATAGTGTGAGAAATCATTTAAAATGTTTGAATTTTGGTAAATAGGTGAAATCATTTTTTTATCCAAAAAATGATAGAAAGTTAAAAGAAAAGAGAAAAAATGACTTTAGTTAGTAGGTGAATTTAGATTTATTTTTGGTTATTGGATGCGATTTCTGTTATTTAAAAGGCTTCCATAAGTTGCAAATTGTGTTTTATTCCCAAGACTTTTTCAGAAACATTCTATTTTCTGGTTGTTGCCGTGACGGCAATATCAAGATGAATACTTGATTACTTTCTGTGATATATAATTTTGGTTATGTTTCGACCTAATGCGTTTATTATGGGCTTGTAATAATTCACTATTTACGATTTTTATTGTTATAAGAAAACCCAGAGATGCCATGAGGCCCTTGACAACGCATACCTTCTCAATAAACATAGAAGATTTAAAAACACAAAACAAAACAAATGGTGTATGCCTCCTGTTATTAGAGAATTTCTTAGTAGTCTGAAATGGAGAGACAATGTAGAGTACTCAACGATTTGGTAAATGAGTGAAATGACAAGTGTTAGCAATAAATCTAACTTATACACTCTGAAGCATGTGCGCTATCATTTTTATCCACCTTAGATATAGATGAAGCCCACATGAAACTTCTAAATCGCGGCTGAACCGTGTGCGTGTGTGGGTGTCTTCCCATTTTCTTTATTTTCTTTGTGAATATTTTGTTATCCCCAAACACTGAACACTGACAAATGAAATTGAAAACAGAAATGAATAAAGAAAATAAAAGGTTTCTCTAACGACAGCGACAGAAATAAACTTGTTGACTGTGCATTGAACGTGGTAGATTGATTACTGATAATTCATTATGAAAACTTTTGGGAACTTCGAACATAAGTAGCTGTTTTAAGGCTTCAAACCTTTACCTAAGTTGCAATCTTTTTTTATTTTATCTAGAATTTGATTGAAGAGTTTTTATTTTCTGAATGTTTTATTGTATTTTCCAAGAAATATTGATGGTGAATACTAGTAAAAAGAAGCAATAAAGTATAAACTGTTGCACTTATAACTTTATAAAAGAAAATCTAGTGATTAAACTATTGATTTGAATCTAATATGGTCTCCAGTAAACAAGTTAATAAGGTTAAGTGTGTTAATTTATCTCGATAAAGATAAATTATTGAGAGATGTTAAATTATTGAGCTCTCAGTTTTAAACTTGAAGCATCTTTTAGGGAAATATTCTTTTCCGATACAGTCGTCATAACAATGACGTAGCTCAAAAAACGTCATTACTTTACGATACAGTCGTCACCAATGACGACGCCACAAGAGTAATCCTCGGGAAGACGATTTATCAAAAGTCCAATGGGCTTAGGCAATCACTGCTTCGACTACTCGAAAAGATGAGTCAAAAAGATTACAAGATATGGTTATACTTGTGTAGATTTTGAACTTCCCACTCACTCAAAAAAAAAAGAAAAAAAAACTTCCCACTCACTCGTTCCTTGCCAATGAGATTTTGAAGCATTGCCACCAGTCACCAGACAATCACCTGATTAAACAAACAAGCTTAAATAAGCCATTTTAAAATGTTGAAATCTCTATAGCTTACATTTGGAGACGATTTAAGTAACCTACAGATTTGGTTTGGGTTTAAACTTAAAGCAAGTAACTCAAAACTTGGGTGAAGATAACAAGCAACATTCATAAGAAGAACCTCCTCCTGCTCGTGTCCATTTCAGGCTGTAATGAAACACCCAAAACATGAAATATACAAACTAAATAATTTGCATAACTCTTCAAGTAACAACCGCATTAAAGCTAATAATATTAATATAATCTTGTGGTGATTTTCTTACCTTTTTTTTATCATCTGATGTTTTATTAATCAAACACATTACAAACCCAAATATGGGTGGATACAAGTCTATAACATCAGAACTACGACCACAAAGGTGATAAACTAAGTCGGCCGTTTAGATGAAATCTAAAATCCGAAGCCACGAGCCGGCGGTTGTTAAATAAACACTCCAGAGACTAAGAGCATCCACATCAATACCCCCTCTTGGGGTTCATTGAATCATTTCTTTATTATTAAAAGTTTTCTGTTTTTTTTTTGATTTTTTTTTTTTTTTAAAAAACAAAAAAAAAATCTAGACCAATCCTGAACCGTCACATGTTGAACCTCAGGAGAGAGGGGTTCATCGGGGTGAACTTTAGGAGAGAGGGGTTCATAGGGTTTTATTATTATTATTATTTTTTTCTTGATTTCCGTGTGAACTCCTCCAATGAACCTTCAATGGGGGTGCTCTAAACGAACATAAATAAGACTCCCAATCCACCTGAGACATTTTAAGTCACCACCTGAAATCACAAAATGCAATTGTAAGAACTTGCATGACTAAGCAAAGGGTTGAAGCTATCCAGTCATGAAAGAAGCTCCCACTCTATTGAAGCTACAAGGACTTAAAACAACTCAACCAACTCGGAAACTGCTCAGACCCATAGATCATAGATGGGTATCAGATTCCGCGTACAAGTACTAAGCGTCTTGTGTCAAAGGTTCCATACATCCATGCTGTAAAGTAACTAGCTTAAGCGAGAAACTAGGACCACATTCATGCACAGAAAAACTCCAATATTATTAACACACAGTAGTTGATATACCCCAAAAATATTAAAGATATATCATACAATAAGATGTATCTTACCGACGAAGATTGTGAAATGAGACTCTCAAGACTAAAAAGAAAGATCTGAATAACGAGTCGACTCAAGATATTCTTAGTATATTTTTTTTTAGTGTTTAGAAAAATTAGCATTATTTGGTGATAAGTGGACTGACCCTAACCATTAATAAATTATTTAAGGGTTCATAGAATTTTCGATGTGGAATATTTTATCCCTAAAATCGCTTTCCGAGATAATGGCTCTTATCAGCCAGAAATCTCTTATTCTCAGTCGAACGAGAACGAAAATTATTTTGATTTAATCATATTTTATTTTTGTTGCACTATTAATTTGTATTTATTATCTATAATATAATTATTTAAAATATAGTTTTGGGTGGGTGATATAGTTTTTTCGTTTGTGACGGAAAAATACGTTTTGCATTTTTTTGCGGGCAAATGTATTTTGCGTTTTTGTGGGAGTATGAGTTTTGCAGGAAAATTCGTTTTTCAGTTTTAACAAGAAAATATGTTTTACGGGTTTTGGCGGGCAAATGCGTTATTGAGGGAAAATACGTTTTGCGGGTTTTGACGGAAAATATTTTTTTGTGGATTTTGGCGGAAAATGCATTTTACCGGTTTTATGAGAAAATTTGTTTTGCAATTTCGGGGGGGGGGCGTGTTTTTGCGATCTTGGCAGGGAAATGTGTTTTGGAGGAAAAGTGTGTTTTTCGTTTTTGGTGGAAAATACATTTCTGCTGTTTTCGTTGAAAAATGTGTTTTGTAATTTTAACGGAAAGTGCATTTTTTTTTGTTTTGGCGAAAAATATTTTTTTTATTTTAGTGGGAAAATGTGGTTTTTTATTTTTCCGCGAGTAACGAAATGATATTAAGTTTAGATTTGTAATTTGTAACATGTATAAGGGGTATAATAGATATTATATCATTTGACAGAACCATCTCCCTTTAAATAGTCCAAATTGGTTCACATGGTGAACTTTAAAATTAAGTTTAAAACTAAATTTCGATCCGCGCAACCACGCCGGTGTTTTTTTTTCATTTTACATAAATTTGTTATATAATATAAATTTTTAACGTTAATCATATACTTAAATATTTATATAACTATTTCAAATACAATACTTTTATCATATACATGTTATATTAATCAATTGTTACAAATCGTATGTATTTGTCACTTCTTATTATATATTTATC